GATCTTGACATAGCCCCCCCTTTAAGGTCAGGCATCCTGACGAACCTACCAGCAAAGAACTAGCAAGAGTCGGGTAGGTGGAGGGGGTCCTGAGGCGGGCAAGAAAAGAACTGGGTGGGTGGACGGGGTCTTGGAGGAGGGTATGAAATAAATTGGTAGACAGAACGGCCGTCCAGAGCTGTTACAGGGATCGGGTGGGTGGCCAGGAGGTCATCCGACAATTGGCAATGTCCAGGGAAAAAGGCCGGGCGACCCTCCAAGACCTCGAGATGGGACCAGATCTGCAGCCGGCGTCGTGGAGACCTGGGGCCCTGCAGCAGGCGGCGTGGAGACCTGGGGCCCTGCAGCAGGCGGTGTGGAGACCTGGGTTCCTGCAGCAGGTGGCGTGGAGACCTGTGGACGTGCAGCAGGCGGCGTGGAGGCCTGGGGCCCTGCAGCAGGCGGCGTGGAGGCCTATGGCTCTGCAGCAGGTGATGGGGTCAGAGCTGCAGCAGGTGATGGGGTCAGAGCTGCAGCAGGCGATGGGGTCAGAGCTGCAGCAGGCGATGAGCTATGAAAAGTCACTGGGGTGGGTAGGCAATACCTGGCACAGAGCATAGTTTTAACAATCTGTAACTGCATGTCCAGATGTGTTAGGGAGCTCTCGACCCCTGAGAGCCACTCCTGGTCTGGCTTAGAATCCATGTTGGATTAATTATTTTGTCACGGACCAAGGTTTTGGATTCAAAATAAGCCAGACACAAGAGTGCAAAAATTAACAGCTTTTATTTATAAGGATGCTGTTAGCTGCAGAGGGAGGCCTTTAATGCTATGGACAGTGGGGCAATGAAAGTCTGTGGTCCAAAGGGCAATCAAAAAGGGTGATCCGTGAGTCGAGGTCATAGACTGAAGATGCAGAGAAACAAGAATAGGGCCGAGTCGTAATCCAAAAGAGTAGTCAAAGGGAGAGCAAGAGTCGTTACCGTGGTCAGATATGCAGACAAATCCAGAGAGGGGCAAGGCGAGGAGTCAAAAAACAGGCAAGGATTCAAGGCAAAAGACAAAACTATGGAACAGGATACTATGACTGAAGGCTTCACTATCAGGGACCATGGGAGGTTTAGTAATTCAGCCTGGTGGAGAAGGAGAATGGAGATTATAAAGGGTGCAGAGCAGGTGAACTAGATGAGCTGAACAGGTGAGTGTAATCAGGGCTGATGAGTTGAAAGTGCAGAGGGGGGTGTGGCTAATGACAAAAGAAAAACAGCATGATGACAAAGAGGAGCAGAAACATGACATGATGGGGCTATGAGTGTGAGACAGGGGCTGATGGGGGTCAGCGGGGGCCGCTGATCATGACACTTGAAGCTATTTGTCACTCCTGTAGCACATCTTACCACTGTCCTGCTATCCCCATACATGTCCTGTACCAGTCTAACATACTTCTTAACATGATTGTTAATTTTTGTTAGACCCCAACTGGCAGACTAAAGAGGTGCAGACACAGGTATGCAAAAGTTATTGTTTGCAGTGCTGGAACAGGGGAGTGTTTGCCTGTGAGAAGAAAGATAACTATCTTGAAATTCATCAGTCTTTGAATAATTGATACTGAATTGTAGAATTGTAGAATTGTTTGTCTTATAGTTGATGTTTTTTGCAGGTGGTGTCAGAGAGGAAATGGAGCAGAGTCAGGCAAAGAAGGAGAAACCAGAGAGGTGAGTTGTTGGTCGATGATGTATTTTTGTAGAGGAGTCCAGGGTGGAGTTTCTGAGTAGAGTTGTGTTTGCAGGATTGGTGACCAGATACAGCCAGGGAACCAGGGAGGAATCAGGCAGACATGATGGACAGGAAATGAGCTGACGGTGCAAATAATCACAGGTTGGTCAAAATATGAACACTTTTCATATTGTTAGCTGTCACAGAATTATTAAAGGCAATTAATGTTCCAGCATAGGCTGAACATCTGGCTCAGGTTTAAATAGAGCAGGATGTGTAGGTCTGGCTAATCAGCTAACTAGATGTTGAGGAGGAAGGTGATTAGGGAGGGAAACAGAGAATCCCAAAGTGTCACCTCCTCAAACATGGCCTCCTGGCAATTTCTTCTTGACAGGGTGTTTCTTATACAAGGCGGTTATTAAGGTAGGATCTAATATGAAGGACCAAGGGACCCAAGATCGTTCTTCGGGGCCATAAAACTCCCAGTCGACAAGGTATTGGAGACTTCGGCCCCCGCAGCGAACGTCCAAAGCATTCAAAAAAACGTTTGACAGTGTAGACTGGATCATTGTTGATCAGACAGGGGTGGGAGGTGGAGGAGGTTGGCAGGTGGGTTCAATGGACTGGTGGAAACAGGCTTGATCTGAGATACATGCAACATAAGATGGATCCTCAAGGATGTAGGTAGCTGGAGGAGAATGACTGTGGGGTTTATGATTTTGACAATAGGGAATGGACCGATGAATCTGGAAGCCAGCTTTCTGGGCGTATCTTTTAGTTTGATGTCCTTGGTGGAAAGCCATACCTTCTGGCCCACCAGATACTTGGGTGCAGAGGAGCGGTGTCGGTCGACGAACCTCTTATTTTGTTCAGCTGTCTGTAGGAGGGCTGCTCTGGTTTGGTGCCAAATCTTGCAACACCGGCAACGATGATGCTGCATGGAAGTAGCAGAGATATCAGACTCTTGGGAGGGAAACAAGGGTGAGGAATACTCTAGAGAGGCTTCAAATTGAGACAGATCTGCAGCAGATGAAGTTTCAGAATTATGTGCGTATTGGGACGCTTGACAGAGCTGCTATAATTCACTGCTCTCTAAAATAGGAATTTCAATTAAGCCTTTATTTATACAGGTTGTTAGTCTCATGGAGCCTCATCATTTACAAGAGAGACAAGTTTTTAATCAGTTTAATCAAATGTTTACAGATGTTTATAAACCTGTTAAAATACACCAAAATGCAGGAAATGACTTTTATTCCAAATTTTCTGAGGGAGGAACACACACCCCCCCCCCCCCCCCCCCACAGCACAACCTCCCCCCTTCTTGGTTCAGGTTTGGGGCACTCCGGCATAGATAAAGTACTTCCAGTTGTGGGGTTGTCTTGGAACTGGTGGTCTATTTCCAGGTAGCATTCTCTATTTCAGCTATCAATGTGAATAGCAAGGTTTATAAGTTCTTCTAAATCCTGAGGAGATTCATGTGTGGTGATTTGACCATTTATATTATCGTTTAGTGCATTTCGGAAAGCACTTTTTTAGCACAAATTTGCCCCGTCAAGGTTCTTCCGTGATCACCAGAAGTGAATGGAAAACTCAGCCACAGATCTTGACCCCTGTCGGAGAGTAAATAGTCTTTGTTGGGCTTCCTGTTGTAACAGAGGGTAATAGAAAACTAACCGAAACTACTTGAGAAACGAGGAGAAAGGCGGTGAAGCAATGGAACGTGAGCAAAGGTGGCATGAACCCACTGCAGAGCTTCGCCCTTGAGAGCACTGACAATGTATGTGATACGGGTAGCGTCGGAGGTGTACCTGATAGGAGCTTGTCTAAAAATGAGCTCACACTGGAGAAGAAATCCAACCAGTTTAGAATTAAATCCATTGCTAACAATTTGGAAAGTATGTTAAAAAAAAAAGAGGCTCTGTAAGAAGTTCACAAGACAATAGAGCAAAGCAGGGATGGAGCGAGGGACGGAGCAGAGGAGGACGCATTTGCCTTCTACCGTGAGCAAGCAAGAAACAATAACAAACCATCCCTAATAATAAGATTAATCAAAAAAGAAAGTCTTAAGCCCAGTCTTAAAACTGGATAATGTGTCAGCCTTACGGACAGAAATTGGAAGTTGGTTCCACAAGAGAGGAGCCTGATAACTGAAAGATCTGCCTCCCATTCTGTATTTGGAAAATCTAGGAACTGCAAGTAAACCTGCAGTCTGTGAGTGAAGTGCTCTGTTAGGAAAATATGGAACAACAAGAGCTCGAATATAAGATGGAGCTAGGTTGTTGAGAGCTTTATAGATTAGAAATAAGATTTTGAATTCAATTCTGAATTTGACAGGGAGCCAATGGAGAGAGGCTAAATCTGGAGAGATATGATCTCTCCCACTAACTCCAGTTAAGAATTTGGTAGCAGCATTTTGGATCAACTGAAGACGTTTTAAAGAAGTATTTGGACACCCAGATAATAAACCATTGCAATAGTCCAGTCTGGATGTGACAAATGCATGAACCAGTTTTTCTGCTCAATTTGTAGATAAGATGTTTCTAATTTTAGCGATATTACGCATGTGGAAAAGACGGTTCTATAACATTTTTAATATAAGGGTCAAAAGACATGTCCTGATCAAAAATAACACCAAGATTTTTAACATTATAGCTGGAGGACAGATTAATGCCATCCAATAAGGGTGGATTTTTCATTAGACTAGCTATGGTCTGTATAGGAACCTGGGATTATTTTTATTCTCATCAATTAAAGATGAATAATATGAAGTTCTAATTTTACGGAGCACTTTTTTAAATGTTAGCATGCTATCTCTCCAATATAAGTAAAATTATTCAACGTTATTGGAGCACCATTTTCTTTCCAGCTTTCTTGACACCAGGGAAGAATTAGTTCATACAACTTTTAAAAATCAATGAACTTCCATAGCACAGAACAGTTTTCGGATATGAATAAGAACCATTACTATATACACACACACACACACACACACACACACACACACACACACAC